CCTGCCGAGCTAACAGGATCCCAGGTTTCCCCTGCAGCAGAGGAAGTGGCTTTATAAACATCACTTCAGCGCAAATCCCCTTCAATAGAGCCATGCGTCACCGCGACAGTCCTTATCATCGCGCGGCCCGGAGTGTTATTCAGTGTTATTCAGCGGACAAAGACGGGAATTTCCGCGTTACCTCCGTAACCAGGTGGTGTAGATAGGACACTTACACACTTACGCCAGAAAGGGTGAGCCGGAGAAACGGGAAAATAGCGACGACTAAAGACAGCTGTGATCGCTCTGGATATCACTTCACGTTATTTTTTTATTCTATGTTACCGAGATTACCGCAATGCAATCCTCGCGGAGCCCCGGCGGTGTGGGTGATGCAGCATGTTTCACACGATAAAACCAACATGATAATACCGCAACGGACATGGACACCAATGGTACCACATAAATAAAGTATTAGATGAACAGGAAATATTACGCATAAGGGAAGTACAGAGTCACTAAAGGGGATGCACTGCTATAACCTCAGAACTGTGCGCACGAACCATCAGACTACAGTATACATGTACATGTGCATGTGGCAACTCTTCAGTATGATGATAAAATGTTGTTACCTTCGCCAAGAAGGTTATGTTATCTTAGGCGTTCGTGTGTGTGTCTGTGTGTCTGTAAACACGATAACTTGATTTGGTAGGTGTGTAGGTCTTGATGAGATCTGGAAATTACAAGATTCCCCCCCCCCCCACAGCGGCATCGTATGGTACTGCAGCTGAACATCCGGTTTTGATATCTCATGATCTAGACATGGTAGGGTGACGAAATGTGGATGATAGGTAGCTCTTGGGCTGTTGCGCAACGGAGTGTGACAAACGGCGCCTGATATTAGTCTGGTGTATATGGGCGTGTCTCCATATGACGTTACGTGTGACATAAAGGTGTTGGAATGACCATTTCAAAGCGCCATCTGTCGAGAAATGGACCAACTGCCGCGCGTCACTTTGGAGAGGCAAGTGAAAAGGGAGACCCAGCGGTAACTACGGAGAATGATACTTAGGCTACAATCTTTGTCCTTAGCTATCAATATTCTGGGGTTTTTTTTTCAGAAGAGTGAAAACTTAAAACATGAAAGTAGCAGATCTTGATACGTTAAGAGCTCATTTCTGTCTAACAAAGATTCTAGATCTAGATCATCAAAGGAACAAACACTACAGTCCTGTTTTACTGTACAAAACTGGCGAGTTACAGCTGAGGGTGGTTTACTGGTAATGTGTCTTCTTTCTTGATTCATGTTGCATAGATGGTCATTAAAACCAGCTTTCATACAAGTTTTATGCTAATACCATGTAATACTTGATCTAAATCATTCTTACATAACTCGTGTAGTCTGAGCCTTTTTGCACAAAGTTTTCAATTGATTTCATTCATGAATTCAAAGGATTTGAACTATAATAAAGGAAAACAAATGTCTACCTGTTTTAATATCATACAACTTTACTGGTAAAATATAGTTTGTGACCATTGTAAAAATGACGAACTCTCTATCCACACTTACTTCATGCTTTATTTATTCCACTGACCCATTTTCACAAAGGCAGAACTACCATATTTCACAGATCGCGGAGCGGATTTTACAGGCATTTTTTTGTTAAACTTTTTGTGTGTTGTCGTTTTACCAGACTTTGGCATCGTGCCTTAGGCCATGTTGATTTGACTATATGGATGACATCCTCTGAGAACCCCAAAACTGATGCGCGCGTGCGAATAAAAAAAAAGTTTTGACAAAAAAAAGTTAGCTTTCACTATGAAATCTACGTGGTCATGAAGGTTGAACCAATGGCACAGAATATGTTATGGCGAATAACCTATTCTTCGAATTTATTTCTTTACATTTTTGTCTTTTTTCCTTTGATTTTGGCATTCTACGACATTGGTATCGTTTCTAAATGTTTTCCTTGCAACTTATGGTATATTTTTGCTCATTTAGCAACTGTTTTTGCACGATTTACAGTATGGTTGAAAACTTTTTGGAAACGGCCGAAAATTCATGCGCGCGCGGATGTCATCCATATAATCAAATCAACATGGCCTTACGTATACGTGATGGGGCGTGTTGGCGAGGACACCGGGAAACCTATGTGAGGCGAGCGGGACAGAGCTCTTTCGGCCCCGACCACGATCATGCAGACTGGATACTACATTGTAGGCTACCAGTTTGGCCGCTCTGAAAATGCATTGGATGCCTGTAAACCTTAGAGTGTATGAGGGTGCCGATGACATAGTTACCACAGGGCTGCTGATCCCTTTTAAACTACATCCACTACTTTTCTAACCTCTTCACCCCTACCATCACGGTCGTCAATCATGTAGCTCCGACAGAAAGGCTCCAACATAAGCCG